CTATCACAGAGAAACAGTTAATCTGAACCCATTGCTGACACTGCTCATCAGTAACATCTAATTTTTATAATGTAAATGAGCCACAGAGACTAGAATGGGAATTTCAAGGCACACAATGCTATGTATTCTGTGCTGGAGCTAAAGAAAGTAATAAACCCTCAATGTCCAATTTAATTTAGCAGAATAATTCCACTGAATTTCTCCACTAACAGCATACACTGATGTTGAGTCTCTAAAAAGTGAACATAAGTGCAACTGGTGATGTCCAGAGTCAAGCCAGAAGATGAATGGTGCTCCTAAAACAAGTATTAACAAGAGGCGCCACCAGGATCAATAGAAAGAACAATAAAGAACACTGGTAGAAAGTGACAAAAGAAAATGGCAGTGTCTTTCAGACTTTACAATACAATGAAGAAAACAAGGTGCTATAATATTCTAGATCAGAAATACACAAAAGAATTGATTTTTAAACAAAGCCCTCTAAATAGATAATAACCACGTAATGCACTGTATGACCTCTTCATGAAGATACCTGCACTTTTTTGGCACTTTACAAACCATTAGCTATAGTCAAACCTCTTTAAAAGTGCACCAGATTAACTAAATCAATTTAAAATTGATCTAGGCTCGTGGGTCTCAAACTTTTCACAGACCACTTGAAATTTGCTGAGGGTCTCGGCAGACCACTTAATGATCTTTCCAAATGTTGTTTGTACCATTAGCTAACTATTGTAAAGCACTTTGGATAAAAGCGCTATATTAAAAAAAAAGTAATCACCTTTTTTGTTCTACAAATAAAAGCACACAACTCATATTAAAATATCAGTCATCTTACCTTTCTAATGTGATGGATGTGTCCCCTCTCCCCTACCACGGCAGCCCCCAAGCTGGGGCTGGGAAGGAGGGGGCTCTCTCCCCGGCAGCCGCAGCCCCCAAGCCAGGGCAAGTCGCCTCTTTCTCTGGCCGCCGCAGCCCTGCACATCCCAAATGCCCCCCTCCCCCTCTTCTCACCCTGTTGCCCCCTCCCACCTGCCCCCTATCTCCCCCCCCCTCCACCTTACATGTACATTGTCTCCAGGGTCCAGGCACCTAATTACTGAATTGGGTGGTAGCGGCTGGGAGTTTCCCCTTGTAAAGCCAGATGTAATTATTTATTCGGGGAATAAGAGCCCTGCTGGCCTACAGAGAGGAGGAGGAGGAGGAAAATGAATCTGGTTTTTAATAGAAGGGAATCCAGGAATGATGGTGACCCTCAAACTGTGCAGGGCTACTCCCTGATGCTAGCTTCACTCCCACTGAAAATTAGGAGACAGCGGGCATTTTGAAAGAAGGCAGTTCTTTATGGAATTCTCTACAGAAGGACATTACTTGGCAGCCTCTTTTGAAGAAGAAATTTTCAGTTATGAATAATGGCCCAAAATGATACTTCACCCATGCACATGGTGTTAAATAATTTTAGAGGACCCAATTTTAAATTAATTGTAACTCCAACTAACACCTTTACTTGTAAGTTCTCGGAACATCCATTCTGTCCTTAAAGAGTAAGTATTCTAAGTTTGGAGAGAATACGCTGTATTCTACCTACGTATCAAAGCAGCAGAATCCAAAACAACTCCGCCTTAGCTATGGGACTATGACTTCTGCTTCCCTAACACTAGTAAATGAACAATAAAGGCTACCTTCTTCTATTTTCATTCTCCTCCTTAAAACTTATGCTATACCAATGTGTAGATGTTCAGAGGTATTCCAGAGTGGTGTACAAGGTAACTTACAATAATTGGTCTTTACCATTTTGTCTACAAATCTATTATTTCTTTGTATAATACCAGCCACGTGCTAAATGCTTTGTGGCCCAAGAACCTTATCTTGATACTTGCCCATATAGCTTCCAGTGCAATCATTAACCCCTTTTCTATAGTTACTAGCATAGCACAGTGTTGGAGGGTCTTTTTGAAGCTTTAAGCTATAAAAATAATTAAAGGCTACTCATGAAGTTATTTACTTCATTGCAACCCCATCAAAATAATCTAGTGAAAACACTTTTACCACCAGTTGTTTTTATTGGCTCCCCCATCTGATGCCATTATACATTCTATCCACTTTCACAAACTGTTTGCTCCATGACAGTGAGACCCCCCTCTCCATGGAAAAAGTGTGAAGGGATAAAAGTTCTCTCTCTCTCACACACACACACACTCTCTCTCTCTCAATCTCCTGTAGTTGGCTGACTTCCAGAGTCCCCATAAAAAATAAACCGCTGCTGTTAACTTGTCATCTCACTGACTCTACTAATCCTATTTTGCGTCAGGGTAGCGGTTGACAATATGTTACCAAGATGGTTAGCTTCGTTCCTAAGTAACATACACATGCTTGCTGTTTATTTTTCTCATTAGGACCAACATGCATTGTCTGGCTTCACACCCTGTTAACAGCTAACATATTCCACCAGAGGTTTTATTTTTGCTGTGGCGTGGAGCAGAGCCAACATTTTTCCTTCAATATTCATGAAGTTTTATCCAGGATGGCACTAGCTTCCACCCAGAGCAGCAATCAAAGCAATGGGAAAGACTTCGCACTTACATGGGGCAGCATGCTCTAGTGCAGCGAGTATACCTGGTACAGCCACTGCCTTGTGGTGTCTGACCTTGGCCATCACCTCTGTACCTCAGTCGTCTCATCATCAATAAGCAGCATGGGTGAAGTTTGTGGTTGAAACTTTATGTCCGTGCAAGGTGCTGCCGTTACGTTGCATGCACCCCAGGTAAAAAACAGTGGGCATTTTAATTACAAAAAGTTGTGACCACATTCAGCGCTGGACATTTGCAGGAATAATTTAAGGTGGGGGGAAAAGGAAAGGAGCCCCCCCCCCCACTACTTTGCCAAGGGAAATGCATCTCTTTACAAAGCCCACCCCCAAATTCCATACCTGGCCCTTGGCCAAAGGGCCCAAAGCAGAGGGAATGCTATTCCAATTCCAGCCTTAGAAAGAAACCCTGAACTCCTCAGACCTCCATTTAAAGAGCAGATAAAGAAAGCAGCAGTGTTTTGCTGTTAAGAACTGTACCAACCCTGGCTCACAGAACTAGGTGGTCAACAGGTGCCTTTCTTTTCCTGAAGCATTATTGAAATACCCCCATCCAATGCCCCGTGTATGTGGACAAGGGACCTTCTACACAGATAGCATCAGGTACACGTGGAGCCAGCACTCCTCGGTCCCTCTCTGCTCAACACCATGAGGAAAATGCTCTCCTTGGGTTTTATACCACAAGGGGCTTTCGAGGCAGATACATAATCTTCTCTTCAACTCATGCAGAAAGCATGAGTTATAGCTGGGCAGTGCTGGTTGCTGATGCCCAGATGGTGCTGCTGGCACTCACTGAAATATCACCTGGTGACTGGCAGTTTTGGACTGATTAGATAGTTAACCTCTAGTTGTCGATCAGTGAAAACAATGGAGAAGAGGATTATATTGGTTCAAGAAACAAATATACAGCGAATGCATAAGTGGTAGCCTTGAGCCTATACAATTCATGTGGCCTCAAAGGGCCCTATTCCCCCTGGCCACAGCCTGCCTCTCAGCTCACAGCCCAGCCGCAGTCCAATCCATCTCTGGGGCCAGAGGACAGATTGAATTCCCTCACTGCCATCTCCCACTCCACGCAACGATTGCTAGGTTCACAGCGGCAATAAGTAGGACCAGGGAGGGATTCACCACACCCTGAAACGCAGGATTGGCCTAAGCGAGGAGGGAAATGACCGGGACTGTATATACAAGTTACTTCAGACGGCCCTACAAAGCCTAGACCATGTGCCTACCAGCATCGAATCAGGGGCTCTAATGCCCCATTGTCAACACTAGAAAAAGGCAGTATGCGGCCATGTAATTAAAGCCTGTAAAGCATGTGGAGAAGGGGGTTGAATTAAGCTTGCAGAGGCAGCCTGAATTCTGGCATGTCTTAACTTTCGATTGCTTGATTATTTTTTTTAAATAACGTTTTTTAATATCATTTCATGTATGTAATTCAGTATAGGTTGTTATATGTCCCTCATCACCACAATATCAGAGGCAGAGCCGGCATTAGGCATAAGCAGACTAAGCAATTGCTTAAGGCCCCTGTAGCGGTTGGAAAAGCCCTGCAGAGTGCTGGGGCAGGGCAAGGTAAAACCCTGGCTGATTGGGGGGAAGTGGCTGCACCTAGGGCCACACCCCAAACTAAGGAACTGGGCCTTATAAGGTGGTCAGGGAAGCCAGAGGGAGACAGGCCTGGCTGCTAGGGAACTCACCCAGGGGACCTAGAGGGAGGCAGGGCTGGGCTGGGCAAAGGCCTTAGGAGCTGGGAAACCCTAGGCCAGCAACTCCCCAGGCTGCAAGGCCTATTCTAGGGTAGCCAGAGGGTGGGTAAAGGCAGCCAGTCCAAACCCCTTGTTGCCTGTGATGACTGGCTGATAGACTGCAGTCCACCCCAGGGCACGGGGGCTAAACAGAAACTGGCAGTAGACTGAGGCGACATGGGGATAGGGAGTGGGGTTTCCCCTGGGGTGGGGAAACCCAGTAAGACTGTGGGGTACTGCAGGAGGCAGAACCCTGAGATAAGGGCAGTAGGGTCCTGGGAGGGACACGGGGGCCAACGGCACGCAGATCACCGGCCTGCAGAGGGCACTCCTGGGTCGAAGAACTAATTCCTGAGGACGACCAGCAGGAGGCGCTGCAGGGGTGAGCTTGCGCTTTGCTACAGCCCCAAGCAGCTCAAGGGAGCCACCTCTTAATTATTAGTGGGGGGGGGGAGCAAAAATATTCCTGCTTAGGGCCCCCAACTGATCAGGAGGCAAGGGAAGTTAGTTACACTAACATAAAACTGAAGTAATTCCATTGACTTTAATAGTTGCTCCAGCTCTGCACTGGTATATGAGAGTTCAAGTCCTAGTTTCAGCTCTGATCCAGTATTGTGTAAAATCCTTGCAGTGATAGAGTGCATGAGAAACAAAAAGGAAGGATTCTCTTCCCTTTAGTAAACCCTTAAGAACTGCAAAAGGAATTGTACAGCTCCCCTTTTACAGGAGGAATGAAAGCAGAGCAATACCTTTTCTTCCAGGTAGTTTGGCGGTATTGTTGCCAAGAGCAGGTACCAATACTCCCGTAATGAGTGGCAGCAGGATGTTAAGAATTATAAGAGCAGTTGGGCCACCTGGAAGGCAGTCAGAATTCAGTCTGCTAACTAGATGATCTCAACTCTGAGTTTTTGATGCTGAAGGTCAGCTCGCTGCTGGATGCAGGATAGGCTTGTCTCTGGAAAGCAGTCAACACATCAGCCCCTTAATGGCATTGATGATTAGTGAAGCACCAAGGGAAAAATTAGATTAGAAAAACAAATGAAAATAATTTAGGAAGTACTGTTTATCCTTTGTGGAAGACGCTGCCATATCCAGACTGCAGGAAACAATTTGACTTCAATCCAGAAGAAAAGGAGCCCCGGTCTGGAGTACATTAGTGTGGTGGGAGGCCGGGAATAGCAGCCACTTAACCCTGTCATTCAGCAAACATTAGTGAATTATGAGTGTATTATATGTTGGGTTATGTGTTTTGTGAAATGCCTGGAGGCTTGCTAGAGCGGCACTAAAATGCTATTGGGCGTCTCTGTCAAAATGTAAATTTTTATACCGACTCTGAAATAAAAATAAGATTTCGTGTTCGCCTCCCAGCTACTGAAATCAAATCGCAGCCAAAGCCAGAGTTGTAAAATAAGCAAAAATTTCCCTTCCTGTCAAATTAGTTCCCTGCTAAAGAAAACAAGTGATATAAATGTGATTTACTTCCTTTTCCTCCTGTCATAAACATTTATGGCTGAGAAGTAACAATGGGTTTAAAAAGGCAGTCACAGCTCTTTGATTTTTTGTTTGCAGTGCAACCTGTGCTGGAGTTGGGTTTGATATATGTATAAAAAAGGATCGAGCTACATTCTGCTGATAGGTGTGGGAATTGTTTATACCAGAGTGAGTGTACGCTTATACATACATATTTCTTTATTATACACATCTTCTGTAGACAACCCCCAGACATCTATGTATTGTACACATGCAGTTTGTGGAGATAATATCCATGTTATAATGAGAGAGGCATGTGATATGTAAATTCTATAACCACATCACCTGCTCACTAATCCATTGTGCTGGGACTTATTGTAATCTTCTAAACAGCCCAGCAGCTTCAAACAGCCAATTTTTAAAAATCAACCTGTTAGAGCATGGTTTCATCCCCCTTCACCTCAAATTACACCTGCCCAAGGCATCAAATAGTTTCTCCCGAGATATTTTGCTTCTTTCACTACCATTCTTAGCCAGAATCCAGATGTGTAGAGGTTTGTTCTACAAATTACTGAGTTTTCGATTAAAAATTAGGTTAAGGGGTTAGTTTGGAGGGAAGATTCTGGCTGGTTCTCATTTTACCCAGCATGGTTTCCTCTCCTCCCTAGCTAATTTATCATTTTGTCTAACCATTATTTTGTATTCAGTGGGACCTTTGGAGATGCAGATCCCTAACTGTGACATTCCTGTAGAGTTCACTGGAGAAGAAAGAATTCAACTAAGAGAAACAATCTGAAGAAAGAATCTTATTCTCCCTTTTACCCATAGTCTTTCCTGCACACCCCTCTCCTCAGAGAGCTAACTTAGCTCTGATCCATCCATTCTGCACTACAGTGGAGAAGAAACTCATCTAAAGGCAGACTAACATGGACACCAGTGGTTCCTCTAGGGCTGATCTCTTGCTTCAATAGCGCACTCCCTACGGCAAAGGCAACTTCTCTAGTGAAATCACTGGCTGGATTGTACTGACAGTACAAATTAACTATTCACTAAACCGAAAAGCTGCTCCAGCGGTTTAGAGGATCTGGCTAATAAGGACACCTCTCATCTATACCTCCAGTCTAGAAAGAAAGGATTTCAAGCAAGAATGGTCTTGAAAATTTGGGAGACCCCAAGATAAGGAGACCACCACGGGGAGCATGTGGCTATAGGATTGGGAAGTCCCTGTGCTACTGGACTGACATTTTCTTAGCCATCTTTGCATCCCTCCACTGCCTCCCCCTTCTCGATCACATCAAACATAAGCTACTTGTCTTCACTTTCAAGGCCCTTTACAGCCAATCCCCATGCTCTCTCTCATTCACTATCAAGATGTCAACTCCCACTTCAGATTAGCTCATGAAGTCAGCACCTCCATAGTTGGGGTTGGTCCTGCTTTGAGCTGGGGATTGGACTAGATGACCTCCTGAGGTCTCTTCCAACCCTAATCTTCTATGATCATGCATTTGTTAAATTTTCACACAAGTCCTTCCACGCTTTCTCCCACACTGCTCCACACCCATGGGAGGCACGGTCTTTAAACATCTGCAAAGCTACCTTGTTCTCCTCCTTCAAACGCTCCCTTGCTGTGATGCTTACCAAAAACTTGACAATAGTTAAGCAGCTGGTGTGCAGAGACCACTGCCCACCACACTGACCAATACTGTCTCATTGCTTTCCAGTACTCCCCTGGCTGTCTGCATTGTATCATTTGTGGTCTCTTGCCTTATACTTCGGTGGTAAGCTCTATTTGTACAGTGCCTAGCACAGTGGGGTCCTGCCGTTTTACCAGGTACTCTAGTAATACAAATAATAAATAAGAATATATTACCTTTGGCTGTCTCTGTGCTTTCTGCACCGGTATCTCCAGCACACGTGGAGGAAGTGCCCGTGCACAAATTCTGATCCCAGGTCCAGATTTTCGTCGGAGTTCTTGCTGGTATTCTGCTACCTCTAACACCTGTGGTTTTTCCCACTTGGCACACTCCCACCCACCCGCTTTTTATGTAGTCAGTACAGAACTATCTGTGGCTACTTGCCACTGGGAACCATTTACTAATAAGTGGAAACTTGCATTTGTTCCCTTCCATATCTCGGACCCCTTTCAGCACATCTGGAGCATCACGGTTAAGGAGAAACACCCTGCAGGCAGAACTGGAGTCTAGGCTGGTGAGACCGCTACGTTATGCCCTCTTCACAAATGCGCTGAAAAAGGCAATTCTTCTATAACTACGCCACAGTGTTTCAGTATCTTTTTCATGGTGTAGTGGGTCTGAACATGGAGTCCAGCTGGGAAATAACTTCTCCCCCCACTCCCCACACCCGAGAGCTCTGCCTCTTAACCCTCAGCATGCCCTGAAGCTACTGCTTCTGCATTTCAGGAGCGGTGAGGGCACCTGTTGATTGTGGACAGACTCTCCTCAAGAAACACCCCCAGAGAGAGTTGAAAAGCAGAGAGGCAGAATTCTGTCCAATTATGTTATTCTCTGTAGCAGCCAAAGGTGGGAGCCCTTGGTGTTGGTAGTGGGTCTGGTATTGGCACGAGAGTGCAAGGAGGGGCGGGCAGGAAGTCAAGTTGGTACTGGTACTGTGCTAGGGTGTAGTGCAGATGGAAGCTCCAGATCCAGACAGGACTAAAGAAGGGCCCCTACTAGTACCCCTTCAGAGGGGAGAGCCTGGTTCCTCCAAGACCCAGAGGTCCTTGTGCAAGATGAACAAGGCTGGTACCAGGGAGTGCTTCATGATAGCCTGAAAAGGCACTGGAGATGGTATGAAAGCATGGTCCATGCACCCCATATGCATGCTGAGGGGGACTGAGCTGAGGTATGAACAGAATGGTCCTGTGGCTGCGACCCAAGGAGAAAGGTACTGCAGTTGATGTGGACGTCTTAGGAAAGTCCTTACGTCCAGAACCCTTCTTGCATCTACAGGGCTACTCTTCTGGCACCAACTTCGGAGCAGACTGGTGTTTGCTAGTGACCCTTTGGTGCTTGAGCTGCGGTTTTCTGGATGGGTACCGGCACCCACAAAAGCTTTGGCAACACCCGTACAGGGGCACAAGTTCTGAACTCCTTCTTCCTGGAGACTCTCTCCGGGGAATGAGGTCTCGCTCTCAGAATGCTTCGATTCCAAAGCAGCCCCATCATCTTTGCTTACCAAGGTTAAAGGCATCAGCATGGCCTGAGAAGCTGAGGCCGATGTCTGGGGGAGATTGGGACCTGGCAGGTCTCCGCGAATGCTCCACAAGAAAGAGCTTCTGCCTATCCTCCCTCAGTTTGTGAGCTCTGCTCTTAAAACTTGCCCACAGATGGGATGTGCGACTCTCTGAAGCAATTGGAATGCCTGTCGCTGAGAGGGAAAGACCTGTGGCAGATCAGACAAGGCTTGAAGCCTGGAGTCCTTGGCATAGCCCAACAAGGAAAGTTAGGGATAGAACAGCTGAGGGCGGTGAAAAAGAAGTTTGAGGAGGGAAACCCCCCTCCTCTGAAAGCACAAGTGTGCTTAAAGGGAATAAAACAAAATTCAAACTAGAAGTAGTAAAACTAAAAGAACAATCGCTCCCAACGTAGTGGATACCACTGAACTGTCTCAACCTGAGGGTGGCTGAGAATGAACTGGAATGGCAGTAGGTTTCCGCTTGCCTCTGGCCCTTGCATAGGAGCACAAGGAGGTGTAGTGTGCAGGTTTGGACTTGCGGACACTGCTAGCTAAGATCTCCAATCGAGAGCACATGGGCACGCACACATCTTACACTTACTCTTAGGGACATATAAACCGAGAAGAACTGTACATTGAACTTGGAGAGGATAGTGGTGAGTTGATCAGGTCAGCTGATCAGGTGGGTTGGAGCCACACACTGGGGCCCAGCACAGATTCTTCCCAGTGATCATTGATAACCAGTGGAAAACTTTGCCAAATTCCATAGATTTTTTTTGCTCTGATTCTGTGGAAGTTTTGGGAGTATTTGTGGGATTTTGGAGGGGCACATGAACTCAGAACTCAGAGCAAATTATGTGTCTCTATGGAATAGAATTGGGTAAAGTGAACTTTCACTCATTTCTTGACTGCTATTAAATCCTACCTCACCTCCAAGATCTTTCATCCCCCCTCTCAAATCCTCCAGTACCCACAGGTGGCCGCTCTCCCTTACCTATCTCAGAGGACCAAAAAGTCAGTCCCATACTAGAAAATAGTTAGATATGCTCTTCTCTTTAAAACCTGAAGCCTTCTCTGTGTGAAGAGTCCCTTACATTAGTTGGAGAGCTGCTGAAACAAATGGTTAATAATGTTGACATTTAACCTGCCAATCAATCATCTCCAGAGTTAACAATCCCAAGCAATGAACAGGGCCCCATTATCAAGTGTAACGTGTTTGTATGATGAGGGCTTATGGTAAATTTGTGTTTTTGAAAGACTGAGTGTGGGAATTAGCGTACAGAAAAACCCATTAAAATCTGGAAGATCAAGTGATTTTATTCCTATCTTTGAAAAACCCAAAAACATATGTGCCAAGGCAACAATGGATTCTGAAAGATGATTAAGTAAGCTAGGTAAAGGCACGAGACCAAAAGACTATTGTTGAACCAGATAGCAAGGTCAGTGGTCAAGTATAGAACCTTATGGGTTTGGGGGATTTTTTAAAATTCTGTTCCACTCTTTGTTCTTGTGCAAGATTATGATCCATTAAGCAAATGGATTTATCTGTGAAGCTGACCTGACATTTCTCCAAATCTGATTTCCAAGTTTTCTCAGCAGAAAGCTCCAGCATAGGCCACCAGCCTTAACAGGGCTGTTGTTCTGATATAAGATAGCAATTCCTTCTCCTAACCCACAGGACGAAGGGGGGGGGGGGGGAGAGAAAGACCTACCAAAGCAGAGGAAAAGAGGCACTGCCCCTGTATTGTGGTATTTCAGAGCTGAATTCTGCTGGGCCCAGCTCTGTAAGGAAAGGTTAGCCACTTGCCTCACTTTTTCTAAAGCATGACTTTCGGCAGCCTTTTCCCACACTCCCAAGCTAAAAGAACAAAAGACGTTATCTCAGATTGCATTAGCTGTATGAAAATATTTTTACTATACTGCCTTATTCATCTGCAACACACACAAGCACCCTCTGCTGTCTGGATGAAGATATGTCCCCCAGACTTCTCAAGGTTGCTATTTGGCAGCAGAAACCCAGCCAGGGTTTATTAATTATGAGCTTAAGCATCTCCTTTCATGGATATTTTCAAGGGCCTCCTTATTATTAAGAATAATAATAAAATAGAGTGTGTTTTTAAAGCTCATTTGTTCTACAGCATATTGATTACAGAAGACTCTGCAGTGCACAGACAGAGCAACTGCAAGCATTACACGTGCCACCCTCCGCATTGTGCTTGTTTAGCAGCTGTAATTTGGCCTAATTATTTCCCCAAGGGCATTTAATTTTTCAGATCAACTTTCAACTTAAAGTTTTCTGAACAAACAGACTCACAAACCTGACGAAAATGAAGTGCCAGCCTTCTTCAATGGTCCTACCAACAACTGCCACCTTCAAATTGAAAGTGCATAAAAACGGAATACTTTTGTTTTAAAATAGTGTTTCAATGATTGTTTAAATAGAGCAGCAAGTGCATTTCACCTGTGGAACTCATTGAGGCATGATATTATTGGGGCAAACAGACATTTATATTAGTATGTATAGCAACTAAATCTGCAGCTGCACCAGCATGAAGGGATACTCTCAACTCTCTGCTTCAAGGAATAAAATGATCACCCAAAAGGGACTACAAAGACAGATTTCCCCCTGACTCCTGCCACCATTTGCATCGGGCCTTGTCTATACTCAAAAGTTTTGCTGTTTTAAGCCTGCCAGCATAGTTTAAAAGGGCAACCCTCTCCCCCTTCCACAGGCAAGACACAGTAAAAAGAATGCTTATACCAGTATAGCTTATTTCTGTTCAGTAAATTAAACTATACTGGTATAAAGTGTCTCATACCCGTATAACTGCGTCTACACTAAGGCTTTTACCAGCGTATCTATGCCAGTTTAAAAATAAAAAAAAAGTAACACCCCTTCTCAACATAGTTATGCCAGTAAAACTTTTTTACATTTAGACCAGGTCTAGGAGGAGACACACACATAACCCACAAAATGGATTGAAAACATACAACCAACAAACCAGGTAGTACTTGGCAAAAATACATCTGAGAGAGCAGTGATCTACATCATACCATGCACACGTTGACGCAGGAGATCACTCAGGTGAATGGCAATAGGAGATGAAACCTTTCACCTCCATTGTAAGTCACTGGTTAAAATCCAGACTAGATGAGTACCGATTTCGGACCTACACTGAAATATAAAGAGGAGAGTTCTCACCATTTCCCCCACTCCTTGCCAGCCTTCGCTTTAATTCCATTGGCGTCGGTGTGAGCTGTAGATGACCTGGTCCTGGATACTGGCCTAATCCAAGCTCAGATTTGGACCCAGAGTCAGTGGGGCTTTTGGACAAAGTGCTACGGTTCTGGCCCACGTGTAGTAATGACAGAGTCAGTCATCTGGCAGCTTTGTAGTGGCCAATGTGAGAAGAGGAGTCATCGCTGCAGTTGGCATCCATAACATTATTTCTAGACCAGAGTCATAAAGATCTTTATTGTGTCCTCTACAGCTACATGAATTTGGCTGTTGCGAAAGTGACATTGGAAACCCTGAAGACTGAAGCCCTATATTTCTCGACAGAACAGGTTCAGCAGCAAGCTTCCCCATACTGCCCATGGCTCCATAATGTCTCCAAACCCTACCATTCATACTGCAATGAACATCAATGAGTGGTCCTAGATATGTATTAC